CTTGTATGACTGCAGACTCTGAGGTTCATCAAGGCAGTAAACTGGAGGTATTCATTATTTTATGTCCATACCAGAGAAACTAACATATCTGGGTTTACAGAAAAGCCTTTTTTTTTAACGACTACTTGACAGTCTTTACAAATATGAAGGGAAATTATGTGTTGATACAAACAGTGTGAGGTCCAGTTCTCTGGCTCTCTACAGCAGCTTTAACCATATTTGTCTGTAATATGTCTGAGCCCAACAGAAAACGCACATTCAACCAGGTTTATAAGAAAGCCACACTTCTGTATTCAGTATAAAAAAAGGAAAAACTGAAACTTCAACGTCTTCAGTGAAATACATCATAATGAAAACTGTAAATACTTTAATAGAGGAGATGCAAGAGCAGTAATATTATAACAATATGAATTTAACTGTTGGAGATAAATTCAATGTGCATGTCTGGTCCTTTAACATCCTCTCCTCACGCTACAGCCTTTAACATCTTGTCACTATCTGCAGAGTAAGTGAGGACACAGTCTGACTCCCTACAACGAGGAAACTAACACTGCATCTTCACCAGCTTATACTCCGTTCCCAGTGACCGGAAAAATCTGTTTAAACCCTGGAAACCATCAGCTTTTAGTGACCGTGAGAACAGTTCATTAATCCGTTGTTCGGTCAGATCAGCATACCTTGTCAGACCAGCATACCCATAGTCAATACGCTTGTGCAAGACGTCAGATTATCCCATTTATCCCTTTAGTTTTGTACAAAAAAATACACTTTAAACCAGTGTTTTTCAACCCTGGTCCTCAAGGCCTACTGCTCTGCATGTTTTGGATGTTTCTGAGGTTCAGCACACCTGATTCAGATGATTGCAGTTCAGCAAAGCCTGATAATCTGCTATCAATTGATAACAGGTGTGTAAAGCTGGTAAACATCTAAAACATGCAGGGCAGTGTGCCTTGAGGACCAGGTTTGAAAAACACTGCTTTAAACTACCTTAACAGGTGTGTATCCCTTAAGTCATGTACGAAAAAACTATTTAAGGTCAGATCGTCATACGCCTCAACACCAAAAGAAAGTAATTAAATAATTTTTTCGTACATGACTAACGGGATACAAGCCTGTTGAGGTATTTTAAAGTCTATTTTTTTGTAGTAAACTAAAGGGATAAATGGGTATTGACTATAGGTATGCTGGTCTGACCGGGTACGCTCATCTGACAGAACATCGTTTCCACCTGGGTCAAATGACCCGCCAACCAACCCGGGTTAAAATCGCCTTCAAGTGGCTCGGCTTCGATTGGCACACAGTGGGAACATCAGACACAGGTTGACCCACTTATTAACGTGATACCACTGAATGCAGCGTATAGACATCAACACACCTCGCTACTCATATCTAGTGTAAATGATAACATTATTTTGTAGATTATATTGATAAAATCTTGTTTAAATGCAATTCTAGAAAAAAAAATACAAATCCTTAAAGGTATAGGGGAGGATGTTCCAAATTGTTGAAAAGACCCGCCCTCTCCTCTTTTAAAAAAAAATGCACGGGACTGCTTTGGTGGCACAGTGGTTAGCGCACACGACCTATGTATGGAGGCCTTAGTCATCGACGCTGGCGATCCCGCGTTCGAATCTGACCTGTGGTCTTTCCTACAAACGAGCCACTAGTGCCGTAAAAACAAAAAAGCACAAGCCCATTTCTCCTCATGCACGCTCTGTTCAAAAGTTGCTTTTTGCATCGCTCATACAAGCTTACTTTCCAAAAGAAGATCTGCAATTTTTTAACTAAGTCAGAGTCACCACCAGTAAGTGAAAATGGGGACGAGCATGTAGGACGGCCTTACGTAAACGCATCACCAGAATGATTGACAATTAGGAGGACCACTTATTTTGATGATCCACCTGGAAAAAGAACATCCTTTACTATATATATAAGCCCCATACTAAAAGACATCTATGATAAATGAACCGATTCTTAACATTATCATGCATATGAAAACTGTATCATTCACAATGCACCCTATGAAAGGTTATAATAATTTTTTAAAAAGGAGAAAACTTGTTTCAAGAGATTTTCCTGTATTCCTGAATACAGATAAATTTTCAGAAAACCAAATGGTCTTCAAGGCTCTGATTTTTATCTTATATTTGTGAACAAAACATGGTTGTTATGGTTTAGCACAAAAGCCCCTCTGTAAAGGTGTTAAAGAGCCTTTCTTGGAGCCATACACCCACAAACAAACATCTGATCAGAGCCGTACAAGGAGAGCTTTTTGAGAAGAGGGCTGAGCAAGGCTTCAGGATTTCCTTTTGAGTATTTTCTTCTGATGGTCAACTGAAAAAGTGCGCGCTCAAAGCAGCTGCCAGCGGTTCAACATGGATGGGAGTAGAACAGGAGCTATTTTTGGGGCAGGGAGCGTAACCGAAGGACTGACAGGCCAGCTGTGTTTCCACAGCTTCATGAAAGGGAGGAGGTAGAGGATGAAAAGCAGGAGGGGGAAATTATGGCACTTTTTTTTTTTTTTTTACTGGCGTCACCCATGGCTGAGGTTTACACAGACTACATCCTGGGGGGTAATCCAAGAGCCCTGTAAAGAGAAGCTGTGACGTTATGTTGGGTATCAACAAGGCTAAGGTGTAATAAAGAAGGGTTTTCCCTAAACAGAACTGTGTCAGTCCTTAAAGCCTGTTGATCACTTTCACACAGAAACTAGAGTTCTGGTACTTTAAAGGTGGAATAGGTCTGTTATCATTAAAAAAAGGCCTCCCAATCTAAGACCAGCATTAAAACTGAACCCAAGAGACTAAAAACAATAGAAAACAACAAACAAACACAGGTTATAAACATTAAGATGAAACATAGAAGAGGAAATGTGAAGGAAAAAATAACATTTAATTAAAGGGTAAATAATGCTGATTTTGCATCTTAGTTAAATAACATGGTGCTGTCATTTTGCAAATCTCTGATGTTGCTGCTTAGGGGTGTAAATCACATCCATCATGGTGATTCGATTCAGTATCAATTTCCTGACCCAACGATTCAATAATTTTCGATACTCAAGAATACACCACGATACGATTTATTTAATTGGTTAATCTTTTTTTTTTTTTTAACCTTACAGGCTAGACAATGTTTCAAATTTGAAATAAATTAATGAAAGCTGTAATATCGTTATGCATTTTATTTAAGAAACAACAGCAAATAACAGAAGTAGCAAAGTTGTACTCCACCTAGGGCCTATTAAAGCCTCATTCACTGAAAAATAATAATGCCTCTGTGTTATAGATTCTGAAAGGCCTTGCATCAAAAAATACTGCAAGCAGAAAGAGGGTAGTGGCTAAAGGAAGCGAGGTAGGAGGGCAAAATATGTTTAGCGCCACCGCAGCACGGGAGTCAGAATTACGTCCAGGAGCAAATGGATAGAAATAGACCAGAGGGGAAAAAAATTAATCATGGACATGTAGATGCATCGGATCGTCGGCTGTTGGATCGAAGCATTGATACAAAACGATTATTATTTAAACCCCTATTGCTGCTATTATCAAATATCCATTACGGTAAAAATTGGTTATTTTTTCTCCAGGTGTGCAGTTTTCTATTGTTAAAACATTTTATAGTATAGTGTCTCCTTTTTAATTTTTTCACAATTATGCTATTCTTTTTCACTTTTCTATGCTAAACATTTGTGTGACCTTTTTTTCTATTATCTTTTTACTGCTGTAAACACCAGAATTTTCCCGTTGTGGGACAATAACGGGATTTCCTATTCAATTCTTCAACAGCCTAATTTTAACAATAGACATCTTTTCTCACTTTTTTTTTTAATCAGTTTAAATGTTGCCAGGTAGGACAGCCAGCATAAACTGAAATAATAAAAAAATTGGTTTAGCTGTTTAAAATGTACACGGTCACCTTTATAATCAATTCAATTCAGTTTATTTATATAGCGCAAATTCCCAACACACCTCATCTCAAGGCATTTTACAGTTGAGCAGATCATACAGTCAAATTGATTTAAAATTTTCTAGCTAAGGAAAACCAGTTGATTGCGTTGACTCATTGACTCGAAAGCAATCCCTCACACTAAGCATGCTTGTAGCGACAGTGGAGAGGAAAAACTCCCCTTTAACAGGAAGAAACCTCCAGCAGAACCAGGCTCGGTGTGAGCGGCCATCTGCTGAGGTCAACTGGGGTTCAAGGAGACAAAGCAGAGATACAAAAAGCAGCCGTAAAAGGCGGCCCCGTCCAGGAAACATAAAGCCAGGCAGACGAGTCTGCGAGCCAGCTCCAATGTCAGAGGATGAAGAGAGCACATCCAGCCAGTCACAGTCAGAGAAACAGGACTCAACAAGGTCTGCTTCAGGGATGATGGGGAACAATCACAACGGTTTCCCAAACATTAATGCATGAAACTAGATCCCTGTCATTTATTAAGATAGAAAAGTTAAGCAGGTAGGAATCATGCTTTTCATCAGAGCTTACATTTCAGTATTGAATAATGAGTTTTTATTCACTATAAGCACATAGCCATCATAATTAACAGAAATAAAAGCCTAAAACATTTGTATATGTCATTAATTATAAAGTGAGTTTTTATTTAAAGAAAGGGAGAAAGAAAAGGTAAAATATTGATATATTTATTGCACATAACATGCTTTGTTTACTCATTTGTACTATTTCTGCACAATATATACGTAAACTGCCAGAATAACACCTTAACAAGGTTTTTTTTGTCCATGATTAGACATCTACCTTTCTGTGTTACAGACCATTGCTTCAGTATAGTTATTCACCTATTAGCATGTGATTCTGGCGATAAGTTCTAATTAAACGGCTAATTTAAACCACAAGGAACTCATTATTGACTCAAACATAATAAAAAGCAGAAAAAATGGGGCTTTCCCCCATTTGATGTGAGTCTAATGCGTAACTTTAACAAACATTAGCAGAGAAATTTTCATTTGGGGGGAAGAAAAGAAAATGGGGATGGTTTTATTTACCTCTGCCGTCCGGAGGGAGGGCGGCTTCTTTAAAGCCACTTTAAAAGTAGTTTCCATGGCTCCGGTCATTTTCATAACTTCGGTTCAAAGCCACTAGTATTGTTAATCTCCTTGTTAACTCTTTCGCGGTCTCACTTCTTCCCTACTGGGTGCTCCTTAGTCGAGCTGGACAAAAATCCCATCCTCCTGGATTTCGTGGTCGTCCATCCGAGAGTTGATGGAGTTAAATCCAAACGAACCGACCGGGAACTCCTTCTGTCGGAGGAAAAAAAACTTCACTCAAAGCTAACTCGCGGTCACTACCCGAACGCAAACAGTTAAACGCCATTAAAATGTAACAGGAACGAAGGTTTGTGTGATATGTTCGCCTGTTTTCGTTGCATTTCGGGTAAAAAATAAAACTCCACTTCGCCAGGCAGCGTCAGTCATATTCAGGAGTTCAGATTTTTTGATCCCACCTCCAGAGGAGCCGAGAGTTGACGACATCTGGACGTAGTGCGGCGTTCGAGGCTGTCGGAAAAATGACAGTCAGGCGTTTATACATCTCTCTTTTTTTTCTAAAGGAAAAAAACATTTCATGATTCACACTTCAGACAGAAATTCATTGAAACTGATCGGTGATCTATAACACTAACTCAAATATTAGAAATCCTGATCTGTTAAGTTGTTTTTTTGTTTTTCGCCTATGCTGAATGCCCATTCATATATTTACATAACCTATATGATTGTCTCAATTTTGATGCGTCTTATGTAATCAAAAGTGTATGATCAGCCTTTTTTCTTTACTGCACCTATTAATGTTTTGCATTTTGTAGACAGGACCCTTCATCTCACAATGCTCCTTGGGTAGCTTCTCACTGACATCATAGGGATGGATTAAATGCAGTGCACGAATTTTGTTGTAATGCACAATGAATGAATACAATTTATTTCAGACAATTAACAAATAATAAACATACTAATAGATAAATCAATATCAGAAAAAAATTTTAAACAAACAACCCTGAACTACACAAAAAAGTGGTTGGCTACTGGTTGAACATTAAAACAAATATTTAGTTCCAAATAAATAAAATTAATTTGAACATAATGCTCCACTTAATAAACTTGCCAGTATATGTAGCTTGAGATCTCACATTGATTATTGATTTATGTTTATTGATTAATTTATGATTATTGATTTTTTTTTTTTTATTGTATTTATGTACAATGACAAAAAAGAGTGATTAGTTTTAAAATTTGGAGCCAAGCTGGTTTTATCGTCATTATACATTTGCTTGTTGAATCAAATGCAACTCTGGGGAGTTTGTTTAATTATCAAAAAAAGCAGAGTGAAGAATTATCTTTTACTAACTTGAGAGTTACAATTCTGAATACTGCAGACCACAATATCTGGAAAATACACAATGTCATTGAAGGGAACACCTTTAAGGCATTTTCGTAACTTATGGTGAATTCTGTTTAGAGTAATGCTAAACCTTACCTTTATTTACAGAATTTCCTTTATCTACCTTAGTTTACATCCTTAGTTCTCACTGACTCTTTATTCAAACATGCATGACTCAATGCATTGTATGTGCTTTAACGGTCATCAGTCCTATAGTTGATATATTTTGTTTAATAAAGGGCAAAATTACAATAAGTGGGTCTTGATGTATTAAGGTGTTTTAGTATCAGATTACTACTATAACATGTTTGTTATAGTAGTATAGCAGAATAACTTATTTATTTATTTATTTTGTATAAACTCAACAAACATCTGAAATCAGTCAACAACACCTTCATGTTTAATTTAAGTATTCAATCCTGAAAAGGACACTACATGCCTACAGGAATCTTAGTCTGGAAAAACAGTTTACTGCTGAATAAAATATCTCTTTGTAAAACAGGAGCAGCATATTTCTCTTCATTAATTAAGGAGAATAAGAATAATCCTGTATAACTTTTTAATAAAGTTGCCAAACTCACCCAGAGCCATAGCTCTGTTGAACTGTCCATCCCACCTGTTCTTAGCAGTAATGGTTTTATGGGATTCTTTAGAAATAAGATTTATTCTATTAAAAATAAGATAATTGGCACCCCTCTTAATACGATTGGTTAATCTCTGGAAGGTGAGGCAGCATCTGAGGTAACTATAGAATATGAACTGGGTGAACCTTAAGCTTGTATGTTAGATCCAGTTCCAACCAAGTTATTGACATAAAAAAAAAAACTGGAATGTTGGAATATACAGTCATATGTTTACATTATCACTGCTGCTTACCTTTATAAAGGGTGCACTTTAAAAAATAAAATTGTCTTGAAAATAAATTTAAAAGAGTAATGAATGCCTTTACAGGTAAAACCAAACATTACAGGAAGCAACATCCGGTAGACTTCCTAGCTTCCTAGCTGAGCTTTTACTTTAGTTCTTGTCATTTGTGTGTACAAAATGACAAATAAAGTCTAAGAAATTGGGAGTTTTTCCTCTCCACTGCCATTACTTGCATGCTTAGTGTGAGGGATTGCTGGAGAGTCAATTAGTTGATGCAATTAGTTGGTTTTCCCAAGAAAAATTTGAACCAAACTGACTTTTTGATCTGATTGAATTGTCTCTGTAAAGTGCATTGAGATATGTTGTGAATTGGGACTATAGAAACAAACTGAATTGATTGCTTGAACTTTGAAAGTGTGTATTGGTCAATGCTTCCATGTTTCTTTTTATGTCTCCTTGAACACCAGTGGGTCTCGTCAGATGATTGCTCACAGCAAGTCTGGTCCTGCTGGAGGTTTCTTCGTTAAAAGGACGTTTTTTCCTCTCCACTGTCGCTGCATGCTTCATCTGAATGAGGGATTGCTGTAGAATCAATGACACAATGTGAGGAAATATTAACTTTCGCAAAATGCTATTACAGGAGGAGTGGGCTAATCCACCTGGGTTTCCAAAGATAGACATTTTTTATCAATCTGAATGTATGATCTGAATAAGTTGTCTGTTAAATTGCTTTGAGATGACAAGTTTATCTCTGCTATATAAATATATTGAATTGAAATATAAATACAAATATATAAACTCTAGTGACTTATGTAGCAGTAGATAGTTAATCATTAAAAACAGCATTATTTTTTCTGTTGATTTGCCTGACGAGATGATTGGATTCTGATACCAATGTTTGAAGTCTCAAAACCCAGCCTCTCCAGCTCCTCCAAAACAACATGACTGTTCTGCCCTTTAACAAAAAGGCAGAATTAAGGGTTAAGAACGAGGGGCAAGGGGTGAAAGGAGGCTCAGCCTCAGAGATTCAGGATTGTGTCTTCTGATCTTTCATTTTACGGCTCAGGATGAAACAGGACCTGGGTAAAAAAGGAACTATTGGGTTGGCGGTGAATTTACCAACGACAGAAGGAAGCTGACCCACAACTGCTCATATGTGTACTGCCTGGGTAGTTGCCACGAAGCCATGGACTGTCCTTCCTTCCTTTATTGCATAACAGTGGTGTTTGTGTGTTCCTTTTACCTCCTGGGCAGGGGGCCTAATGACTGGTGAAGAATTTAAAGGAGAGGTCCAACAGAAGTCAAGCTACACCCTAGAATGAAAACAGACTTTTCTTATGCAATCACCTCTCCTTCATGTTTAATTTCATTAGTTTACCTGCTCCAGACTGATATTCTAAGGGTGCAAAGTCCCAGTATAGCTAAGTTTTGAAAAATTACAGGGGTTACAGAGAAAAATGCAATATGGAACAAACATAAAAGAAGCAGCAAATGAACAGATGGCATAAATATATAAATGGGCCAATAAATAACAAAAATTTGGACAGATAACTCAACAGAAGGGTCTGTGATAAATGGATGGCATAGGAGTGTTAAACTGATGGAGAAAAAACAACTCATCAAAGTGAATCAATGAATAAAGGGATTGACTGATATAGAAATGGATGAAGTTTAAATATAATGGTCAAGTGACGAAAAGATGAGCAAACAGATGAATAAACCAATGAGGTGATGAATAGAACAGGGTGAATGATTGATAATTAAAAGTGTGGAAAGCAAATATTTTCCTATATTTATCCAGACTGGGTGTGGAGCATTTGTTTGGATTTCAATTAAGCACCTCTAAGTATAAATGGGCTGTAGAGACACTGTTGGTAGCAAAGGTAAAAGAGATTTTGATTCAAGGCTTTGCTTAGATTCATTAAGGGGAAAAGAAGGCTAGGGATTAGGTTTCATGACAGAAAAAAACCCAGAAATTTAAATTCTTTGCATCTTTATTGCACAACATTCCCAGAAAATTGGGAAAATTATTATTGGAGGTGACTATTCATAAAACACATTCTGTACAAAAACATGAAAAAAAGTAGTTTGAACAACCCATTACACATATGAGCAACTAAATAATTTACTCATGTACAAAGAGGGAGAAGCATATATATATATATATATATATGAAAATCCATATATAAATCCATAACAACCATCTTGTACAAAGGTCGGCTGATACAGAGAAGCATCTTTAGTACACAGAAACATTCATGCCTTTTCTCCATTAAGACTTGGATTATATTCAGGGTGCAACTTCGGCAGGCAAACAGAACCACCGTCCATTTTTCAGCGTTACAGTGTCAGGTACAGCTGCTTTTTCATTGCAACAGAAAACATTGGGTTAAGTTGATTTATTACATGAAGCCTGCAGTGAACGTACAGCAAAAAAAAAAAAAAAAAAAATCATGGTTTGAAATGAACAGAATGGTGGCAAAACTTTATTTTTCTACATTAGAAGTTGAAAAGAACCAGATAAGGTGGCAAATGATTAAGTTTCCTCCTGCAGGTTTTATTTTATATGCAATCAGAGGTACAAAAGTACCTTAAAATCATCTCTGCTTACCTGGCATTAGATAACAACCTGACAATGTCCAAAAAGCTAAATCTTGCTGTGGTTAAATCTTATTTTGTATAAAAATGTCACAAAAAACCAAAACTGAAAATAGTGTTAACCGTTAAAAAGCTTCTCTAGTCTTCTTCCTGTCCCAGACATCGAAGACGTAAACATAAAAAGGTGACAAATATAGAAAAGTGAGAAAATACTTCAGCATTTTGGTTGGAAAAACACAGACAGTGAAGGTTTTAGCTTTTCCACAGTATTAAGGGGCCCTTCTCAGTCACTTTATGATGCAAAAATACATTTCTTCTGTTTTAAGAAATTGAACAGCCTTCCCTTTTCAAAGAACACAGCATATAGTCTACACAGTTAACATTCCTTTCATTTATAGTCTAAATAAAGTATACCTAATGTTTTTATTATTATTTATTTTAATAGGGCATCTGTTAGTCACTGCCCATGAGATCTGAGGTAGTAATGTACCTTGGATAATAGAATCAAAGCATGTTTAGTGATTTTAAATATGCTTCTTAAAAAGAAACATGGGCAAATTCCATATAACTGATAGAAATATGTATAAAAACAAAAGAGGAATAAGATGAGGATCAGGCAGCGCAGAAAATCTAATTTAGCAAAACTATTGATTTGTTTAAATTAGGGCTGCAACTCAGGATTATTTTGCAAATCGATTAATCTGTTCATTACTTTTTCGATAAATCAATTAATAATCAGATAGCCAATGGTTCCATAAAGGACACTTTTTACAAAATTAAACCAGGTGAAACTAAGACTTTTCCACTTGAGGAGTTCTGGATAGAGCATATTGACAGACGGAAACATTTTTATTTTATTTTTTTATCTTAAATGTAAAATGTTTATTTTTTCTTACAATTCTGATATAATTCCTGCTCTAAGTGGGTCGCTCTGTCAGCTACTGGCTTGTTTTACAGCCGCTATACGCCAGTTAACGATTAATCGATTACTAAATTAGTTGCCAATTATTTTAATAATCGATTAATCATTAGTTGTTTCAGCCCTAGTTTAAATGAGGACATTTATCTTGTAAACAAAAACATGAAAATTATGGTGGAAAAAAAAAAAAAAAACATCCAGAGAAATTTTGTTTCAGTTTTAACATGGTATCTATTTGTTTAATTTCCATGTTTAGGATTGTACTGGAAATGAAAGCAGTTGTGTAATTAACATAAAAGTTAGATTTCACTCTGATACATTTATAGTCTTTGGCTTTTGTTTCCAAAATAATAATAAAAAAGTTTTGTTTAAAAAAAAAAAGAAAAGAAAAAGATAAACATTCAGTCCATATCAGAGATGCTTTAGTCATCCGCTCCGCTTTGCTCCATTTTTTATTATCTGCCGCCACCATGTGGTCAAATGTTGCATTGCTGTGAAGCCGATGACGATGTAGAACACTGGGGATCAGGCCAAACTCCTATGCTGGGTGTAAATACAGGTCAGGTAGAGATGTACAGGTATGGACGGCTATTTAAGAAGGGCAAAAATGCGCCTCCTGACTGGTCTTTAGGATCTGAACATCCCATAGTCTCATAGTAAGATCTGGGCGACGTAAGGGGAGTGAGTGCTAGCTACTGCAGCCAACAGTGGTAGGTCACTGGACTCAATCCTGCAAAGATAACAGAGAAAATATCAGGAGACTGCAAACACAACCAGCTGTGCTTCTTCACTGAGAGGAAGAGAAAAACTGAAGTGCTTACCCCAACACCATGCCGAGCTCTTTCACATGGACTCTTGTCTGGCCTTTTAAATACTCAGCAAGCATCTTACTCTTAAAATAAATTTCCTGCAGGCGGTCCTCAAGGTGCATTATACACTAATGGGAGAGACAGCAGCACAATTAGAGCAGGAGACACTCATAACTACAAAAATCAAGTGAAAACCTGAAAGGAGTGACATACAAAGTTAGGGGAAAGGTTTAGCTTGTAGAGCTGATAGGTGGACTGCAATATGTTGGAAACCAGGCTGGAGACCAACACTTCTTTTCCTAGCTTGGTTGGATCGGTGACTCTCCTCTGACTGCTGGCCACCTGGACAGTCCACTTGTCTGTGTCTGCTATAATGCAGACGGCCTCGGCAATAGGCTCATCCAAAACAGGATGCTGCACAGGACAAAGAGTAGATATTTTTATAAGAATAACACCAAAGAAAAAAATGTTACAAGCTAAATCATTAAAAGAGCATAACAAGAGCATGCAGAATGTCTTTATCATTTTGTTAACTGTTGGTTTTTGACATGGCCTTCTGCAGAGAGTTTGGAAATGAAGGATCTATGGTTGTTTTTATTTGTCGGTTTACCTGAACAGCATGGTTTAACTCCGTCATGAGGCTTTGCCGTAGTTTCTCATCACTCGGGATCCCATGCAGTACAAAGTCTGGAACATAGGTGGGGCAGTAACCTCCAAAAAGAGAGCGACCAAAATTGGCGATGGTGGGCTTAGAGTAGTTCTCGACCAATTTTGCCCTGGAGATTTCAAAATAGAAAATTTAGCATTTTTGTTCTACTTAAAAGTAACCCATTGAGAACCAAAGTATTTGTTGGAGTAAAAGCAGAGAAGGGAACTCAAACTCACCCAGGGAAGGGAACCAGCACCTCCTCCTGCCAGTCCTCCGTCTCCTCGCTCTCGCTGTCTCCCAGTGCGCTATCGGAGCTCTCATTGCGTGGTATTTCCCAGTCATTGACAGAGGCTGCCTGGCACTTTTGGTCCTTGTTGCAGTCATTTCCTTCCTGGCGGAGAGAGACGCCCCGCCTTGGATCCTTGTCCTCCTCTGCAGGACAGCTTCTGCAGCAGCAGGTGTCAGAGGAGTCTGTAGAGCTACACCTGCACCTCCTCTGAAAAGAAGACGTGTTCCCCTTCCTGCCTGAGCCCAAATCTGGATTATTTAGTGCACTTTGACAACTGTGATCCCCCAGGTCAAGAAGTCGTTGAATCCCAGACGGATATAGTAAATGTTTGTGCATACTGTCTGTGGTCGTCTCCTGGTTGTGTATAGTCCTCGTCTCCAAAGGGTTCTCTGAGCTAAAACAGTTATTACAATAGTCCGCACATTTGCTGCTCCACGGGGGGATCTTGTTAGATACCCGCTGCAGAGCTGTGGTGGCCTTGGTCTGATTGGTTTGGTCCTCAGCTGCACCGGTGTTGATGGTCTTAGAATGTGCTCCTCTCTGCAGATATTGTTTGTGTTTTTTGATTTCCACCTCCATCTTTAGTCTGCGGCTTTCTGTGTCCGACTCAGGAGACATGGAGTCTCCAATAAGGAAAGTCACTTTAGTAGCTGGCTCTTCGTCCTCAGCCAAAGCCATTGGTCCTACTGCAGCGTTTCCAGGTAAGACGGGTACTGGCATTGCTCCAGCAGAGCTCTTATCAGGGGGCTTCTTTGCCAAGCTGGCTCCTGAGGGCCAAGGGACCTGCATTTTACTGGTTTGGCTTCCTACTGAAGTATCCACCTCAGCTTCAGCATTATTACAGACAACAGTCCCAGAGGAAATAGATGAAGTGGATGTGAGCTCTAAAGGCAACGATGAATCAACAAGTTTCAGGTCACTCGTGGTCTCTGCCTCTAGAACGGAGCCCTGCTGCCTAGGAGAGGCTGCCATGCCAAGTCGCAGCACCCTCTCCACTGGGACCTCGGGTATCAGAGGGTCGCTGGACTCCAGCTGCAGCTCTCTGGGTTCAGCAACTTCTGCCGTTCTGATATGAGAAGCCGTATCCTCACTGGGCCTGGATTGAAGAACACTACTCCTGGACCCTTGACTCAGATTACCGTCCTCCTCATCATCCTCATCTTCTTCTTTGGGTGCTTCACTAGAGCTGTGATCTACCTCCATGTCAGTGTATGTACTGCTCTGGAGGCTGTTGTCTGAACGGTAGCTGCTGTCTTCAGCCTCAGTTTGCTGACAGTGTGCCCCTTGGGACAGATAGTCTCCACTAGGTTTGTGGACAGTAACCAGGACATAGTCCGACTCCTCCACCTCCCCTTTTCTAAGTGAGGTGGTGATAAGGGAGCCAGGTATGACGATAGCTTCATCCTCAGCACTGTCCAGCATGTGGGTCTCTAGCAGCTCTGAGCAGCGGATGAAGTATGTGAGGACATACAGGAGCCTCTGGACCAGCTCCTGTCTGCGCCCGACTACCACCGTTCTCGATAGCCGCACCGGAGACCCAATGGCTCCATATAGGTCTCCTACAAAGTTTGGGGATAAGAGAGTTCTATAAATGTATGTTATGCACAATGAAAAAATTAAGTTATACTCATTTATGGAACTTAAATTTCTAAGTGGACTGATGTGAAGGTTCAGTCACTGACCACTAGGTGTCAACATTAACAAGTTTTTTAAATGTGCAAAATGTATTTTTGAAACATTTAAAAAAACATTATTTTCCCAATGCATCCATAAATTATCTACTGATGCATAAATTCAAGGGAATGATGATGGATCAATGCAGTAGTTTCCAAACTTCTGTTTTTTTCTTCCTCCCATGGCTACAACAACTCGTTGAAAAACTGCCCATGAATTACTGCATCATTTACTTTCCCTTTGGGATTAATTCAGCACTTTTTAATAAAATTACACATAACTTATAATAGTGACAATTCTTAAAAACTTTTCCAAAGGGTCTTTGTGAATGTTTTATGCAGACAAAATAATGTTTTAACTTCACTATATTACTTCGAGTCTAAATAAAATACAATCAGAATTTATGTTCACATCCAATTGATAGCAAGGCCTTTAAAAGAAGGAAGTTTGTTCTCTTTAGGAGGGTGTGTTTGAGTCTTACCAAGCTGTGCCCACAGGGGGTTGTACGGATGTGTCTTTGCCAGCATGTCTACACTCTGGGAGGAGTGCTTCTCAAGGAAGATCTTTATAGGAGGCTGCCCATTGGGCATAACTGTGGGCACCCAGGCCAAGTGATTGGTCAGGATGGCTGTTAGTAATGCAGGAAGGAACCTGGAAAACAGAACGGCGTGGTCAGAAAAGAATTTACTTTTAGCGGAAATTGTTGTTTTTTTTCCTTCCCTCCTGACCTTATTTGGTAAGGCCAGATTTCCTGTCACTACATGGAAAACTTTGACCAGACTTTTCCTTTCACAACCCGCCACTTAACAGAAAGTGTTGCAAAGCTCACATAAGCATAAACATACACATGGACACACTAAATTCTCATGATTCACTTCCCGTTTCTCACCACAAGTGTCTACTTCTCTCGCTGTCTTATGACTCAAAGCAATAATCGAAGCCTAGTTAGTTACAACACATGTCAGCCATCAGCCACATCAGTCATAGGGCTTACTTAGTAATGGCATCTCTCAATATAGACTAGATGGGATATAGTAGAACCACAGGTTCCCATGGTAACCTGATGCTCCACTAGTCAACAGCATTGGGGATGCAGCTGGGAGTAGGTCAGGCTAACCAGTGGCAATGGAAACTTGAGCCATGAAGTCATGCTTGTTAGGAAACAAACTGCTACCTAGGAGATGCTGTCTCCATTTTAAAACTATAGTTAATGAGTCTGTTGGGGTTTAGAGTCTCAGCTTGCTCTGACACGGGGCTGTGCAGTAAAGCAAACTCCCTTTAGTGACAGCAGCAATCATTTTAAATATTCACAAAAGCAGAATTCAGAAAAAGACAAGTTTCCCTCGGTTGGTTAGAGCTGCTGATCCACAGGTCAAATTCTGAAGAAACAGGTTACCATTGATCTGGAAAAAGCAGCCCTCGTCCAATTCTTCTTTCATATGTTGGATTAATTAGGTGAAATAACTCTAATAATAATCATCATTTAATGCTTGTTGGACAGGGACAGATATGAGCAAGCATTTAGAGTTTTAGTACCAGCAACATAAATCAATTTTACTAAATATGTTCAAAGAATGTCCTGCTACCGATTCATCCAGTTTGGCACAGCTTTGTAACAGCCACAATAAGGCAATTGAGACTGGCTTTTCATTCAGTTTTTGTTTGTATGTTTGTTTTATAAAAAGTAGAATGACACTGAAGCTGTCATTGTGTGAGTAGGAAGGAGTTTTCTATTGGGCTTTACATGGTGTTGGGAAGAGAATGATCCATGCATGTGTGGATATGGATGGATCCCTCTGATAATAGGCCCAGTGACAGGCCAACACAGATCAGGAAATGTGAATCTGAAACATTTGAGGAGGGAGCTTTTTTTCTTTTCTTTTTTTTTCCCAATGACAGCCTAACGTGCTAGATCTCAAGCAACTGATAAAACGACGCGGTTGTCAATAAGAAGAGATACTCAACTGGTTCTTGGAGGCCTGCTCCATCATTAAAGCCAGCTCCTTCATGAAGTGGCCGCAAAGCTGGTTCTTCTCAGATGCTCCGGACATCATAGTCAACCAGACTGGCTCGGCCACGCGGGGCATCGTGTAGAGGTCACAGATGGTCATCCTAGAGACGAGGTGTGGCAAGGCAGGAATGGAGAGGGAAATAACGGGGGAGGGAGAGAGAAGACAGAACAATTATTGTCTCTCATTGAAAACAAAGGAGATCTTAGTTCACAGAGCTTCACTGTCTGCTCTGAGGCTATGGGAGATCCTCACTGTGTGTGTGCTCCTGTTTTGGCTATAGAGTGAGGTCCGTTTCTCTTATTTCACCATCATATTGAGGACCATTTATGTCAAAGTGAGAACGTTTAGCTGGTCCTTACTTTTGTTACTTATCGGTTAGGTTTAGCATCGAGTACTGAACTGAATTGAGGTTAAGGTTGGGTATGCACTGATCATGCTTAGGTTTAGGGTAAGGAGATAGAAAGGGTAGAAAATGACAAAAAATAAATAAATTTCAATATAATTCAATACATGGTCCTCACAACATGTACCAAGACGAGTGTGTGAGTATGTGTGTACACATTGGTCACAGTCCAGCCAACTTGCCTGCTCTTGCACATAAAGACAACTGTCTGTTGGAATGAACAGTGCGTGTGTGTGCCTGCATGCATATGTATCTGTATGTTGCTCAGCTCTTTGGGCACTGAGAGCAACTTGAGTTCTCCATGGAACGTGGGATGTTGGCGTGCTCGTCTCGGCCTGCGGCCAAGCTTTAACACGGGGCTAAAGGGAATCTCTGCAGCCAAAGCAATGTAAAACAATGCAGATGCAAATTCACCCGCCAACTTTTGAGCTAAAAATAGGTTAGCATATTGTAACCAAAGCAGTAAACAGCTATCAAACCTAGTGATCAGTCACATGTTGTCAAAGTGCTGCTGATAAGGAGGAAAAACTATTTGCACAATTGATCCGTCTTGTTGGAAGCTTCTGGATATCTTAGCTTGTAAATAAAGTAAACTCCTGACCTCTGATTTATAGAGACGCCAGGTAAATAAGAGCAGCAGACGGACCAGGAGAAAAACAAGGTGTTAAATAGCAAAAGTGACCTTTTTAACTAGTCTGACATCTAGGTTATATTTGGAAGGAATGGTTTCCAAAGGAAGCTTCACTTACAAAAATCAATCATAAGAAGTACTAGCTAAAACTAATGACAACATCTCGATTACATTTTGTCAAAGAAACAGCAGTTACCTGTCCTTCATGATAAATTTCTAAATGACATTTGAGACCCGACCCAGATAATGTCACAAACATTCTAAAGGGTTTCTTTTACCACCAACTAATTAAAATAAATTACAATTTATCTCAAACAAATAAATGAACACATAGTTCTTTTATAACAAGGGAGCAGTTGAATATCCAAAGCATGTATCCAGGCCTTCAGTACGTCAGCAGGGCAGCAAAGACAACGTGTCAGTATCCGCATCAAATGACCAAACAATCTGTCAGACATTCCTGCATTTTGAACAGCTTCCCAAATCCTCAGCCTCCATCAGACCCCCCCTCTATCTGCTGTACGTTTGTACACTTTGCAGAGATTCGAGACTGAGCCAGCTCTAAGAGCAGGTTTCCACATCCCTGCTGCAGCTGTTCAGGTGAACTTAACAAGAAACGACCTGAGGTGGGGAATTAAACTGACGCGTTTGGCGCCGGGAGGTTGGATTTGTATTACTTCACTATGCAGGTCAATTTGTTTGAGATGATGCCGTTTGGTCCTGCTAAGCTATTTCCAGAGACAAAAATTGTTTTTTTCTGTTTAATTGTTTTCATGAATATTGAGCCCTTTTAATAAGAAGGAAGCCCTGTAGATAACAACTTGTTTGACCAACCTGTGGAACAAAAGCGGCCAAATTTCATTCAGAACTGTTTCAAAGTGACTTTGATTTATTTGAGCGTCTGCCAAGTTTCCCTCAGTTGAAAAAATAAAAATAAAAAAATAGGAAAGCAAAAGTTTGAATCTAATTCAGGATGTAGTAGCTAAAACGTTTTACTGTTTTTCTTTGATATTAAGAAAAACTTAGATCAACTACATTTTAAATATAGTGTAATTAAACTTTAATTACTGTAGAATTTTCCTGGATGTTTAAAAATTTTACTCTGCTTGTAAATAAACATTAAAAGAGCAGTTTTTAGACTTGGAAAGGAGTAAGGCATGTGTATTTTACCCAGAATGAAGGGTTAAGTCCTGAGTAGAGATTCATCTGGCAGATTACAGATTGATATCTGACTGACCAATTCTAACTTTTTTCAAAGGATTATAAAATTTGCTGATAGAGGAAAATTTTTAACTAACAAAAATGAAGAAATTTGATGTCTTTATTCATCTAGGCATGAAGATATACAGGTTTAGTTGTCTCCTTATAGCCAACAGTTGACTGTACCTTTGCATTAGTAACTGAAAATCAAAGACAATCTGAACAGAACACCATTTCAAATACTAATAAATGTAAATTTTTTGTTTATAAAATCATGCTTAAGTTTTAAAACTCAAATATTTTTCAAACTACATTTTTTTATGCTTATCCAGAGAAATCTTTTAATTGCAAATAATTTTTTTTAGTCACAATCTTTCTGTCACAGCTATGACGGACAGATTAGCTTGGCTTCCTCAGATCTGGTTACAGGGGAACAGAAACGGCTCCAACCCATCAATCCTCAGGGTTGGTACAGGAGTCCCTCTCGTGTCGGTCTAAATGCAAACCCTGACATTACTGCTGTTGGCTGGTGTGACTTTTATGTACCCATGCCTCTGCTAAGTGCGCAGCTTATCTTTGCCAGCATGTGTGCGTGTCCGCCCTCCTCCGACGTCAAAGCCACATCAGCATCGGGGGCTGGAATTTCTTCCAGTTTCCTTCTTTGATGTTCCATGAAGTCAAAGCCTCTTAATGCCAAAGGTGCCGCCCCCACAGCCTGGAGGTGAAATTTCATAGATATTTGTCTGGTCCAGGGCACAAGTGTCCCTCCTGCTGGCACCCAGTATCTACTATTCTGGTGCTTGCTTGTGACCAGATTCTGGGGAAGGTAGGGTTGCCAGCCGGTCAGCTTGGGTTGCTGAGGCCAGGTGTCAACAGCCACATGACCGCAGCAATGCGGAGTCCTCGCACGGCGAGCTGCCAGCGAGGGGGGAGCAAGTGAAAGTACTGCAGCGCTTTCAGGGATGTACGTGAACAAACACTGACTTGATTGTTTTATGACAACCAAACAAACAGTCATGGAAGAGTGGCAGCACATCCTACACTTACAAAGAAGGCCGATGATGAAGCCTTAGATATAAGGCAACATAATTAATGTCATTACAAATAAAGTCCGAAGCCTTCCTGGAACTGATGTTTCACACAGGTCTAAATAAAAGCTACCTCTTTAGGTTCCACTACCATCTGTCCTGTATTATGATCAGAATGTCACCACTCATGGTTTTTCGACCTCAGGTAGGGCAGAGGGATATTGCTTTTCTCAACATGTAGAAACTTTTCATAGCAGATGTTTATAACGTTAACTTATATGATTATACGACCACAATAAAAACAAACTATCAACTTGAAATTATTCTAAGGCATAAAGGTAATTTAAGGGCAATACAGCAAAGAAAAAACAGCAAAGAACAAAGTCAAAATTTGCAGAGGAATGATGCTGGATTTAAAGTCCAGGAACCAATGGATAAAATAAGGAAAGTCATGTGTTACATGTGGTGTTGTGTGTTTTGTTTCCACCCTTGCAGCAGCCACTGGTCAAATTTGACAGATTGTAGTGCCATCCAAAAATACCAGCTTATTTGAATTGCATCCATGCAAAATAAAAACAGACCTAAAACTCAGTGATTTAGGCAGTCAATTAATGGAGATACTGAAAATATTATTGTTTCTCTACTTTGTATGATATTGATTGTATCAATATGTAGTTGTTTTTTTTTAAAACACTTTAAATGAGAGCATGGGTGAAGGAAGTAAAAAACATGCCCTAAATGATTTCAGTGTCAAAGTGAGAGTGAGTTTCTGCCACACCTGAACTCGTTGAGTCCATCCACCATTCGGCTGTAAGCCAGGGCTTTCTGACTGGCATCTGCTGACCGCCGACTTATCTTCATGGCCTTGAGTGACATAACACACATGTGGTTTCATTACTGCCAATGAAGTCGTTAAACAAAGGAACATGTGGGGAAATAGGTGCAAGAACAAATACCAGAAAGCAGGACAGAGAATAAATTGAATGGTTATCTTTAACACATGGATTTCACATCCAACAGTAGTACAAAGCAGAAGCATAGCTGAAGGCTGTCTGCCATTTCAACAAGCTATATAATAACCTAGGTTATCAAAATGTTACACAGGAAGGTTAAGAACATAAAGCGGTTTTTAAAATAGAGACAAGCACCTGTTCAATGGCACTCTTCAGCTTGTTCATGTGACTTTCAAACAGTGGGAAGTGGGAGAAGAAAAAATCCTGGAAGCGGCTGCTTTCTTCGGGGTTCGGCGACAGGGTGAAGATGACTCCGATGGCAATCTTCTTCTTCCGCATCGCCCCGAGGCTTTGACCTCCACTTTCATCAGACATGTTGAAGCTCTCCTCCACTGACCTAACCATAGAGTTCACAGGGAGTCAACTTCAGTCAACAAGAGGAAACAGAAAAATAAGGTGCAAGTATCTGAAAATTAAAACCTGTCATTCTGCTCATTAGGATTAGTAAGTTCAACACTGAAACTATTTAAAGCCATATGAAATGAAGTGGATTCAATAAACTGTAATTTTTTCTTGTTAACGTGTTATTAAGATTTAAAAAATAATTTTTCATTGTAAAATGTTTTTGTATTGCAGTTAATAGACAAGATCCTTTGGTGGTGGCAGAAAAGATTAGCACAACAGCTGCCTTTACATTAACAGGCTAACGTAGCATCCTGTCTAGTCACAGGACTGAGCCATTGTTAGCAGTCATTAGTGCATAGCAGCGGCATTTGTCATTCCCCCTGCTGCCTGCTGCATTGAAAGGACATTTTTTGCATGATGAACTTTCTAAAAGATACAGTGTAAGGAGGCATTTCTAACCATTTCATATCAACATCTTGCATTATAAATACACTTAATTTTAACAAGGTGGAATTTCTTATTTTTTGTTTTTCTAGTTGTATTTTCCATTCTTTAGAATAGCTTATTTTAATTCAAAGATTTTATCAGTTTGTTTTGATTTTTTTTTCAAGAAATCCATACATTTATGTTCTGTTTCTTCAGTGCTTAATTGCATTTACTTTGATTATTGTTCATCTATAGTAGGAACATCATTTACAAAAAAAAAAAATAATACACAAACACTAATACAGCATATTTCGTTGATAAATCAATGAGTGAATGAGTTAATGAGTGTTAAACAGGACCCCTAAGTGCATTATGATCATCAAACAGTGTAAATAATCCCAGACGGGACCCTGGATCCATTTATGTTTCTGCCCCAGTATTCCTCCACACTCCGCCATTATTTCTACTGCAAATACAAGTGAGGCTTTGCTTAGGAGTCAAGAGAGGCCCCCTTTAGTGCATGGGGCTAATTTTTATCTGATAAACCATTCATCAACAATTGATTGTCAGTCGATTATTTGTCTGCATCCCTATTTCCAAGAAGAGGTGAATGAGCGTATGAATCTCACCATCGTGGAAATACACCGTTCTCCAGGCTGGTAGTTTGACTGCGGAGCCATCGGCGCTGGTAGCTGGAAGCGCAGCTGCTGGTCAACGAGGAGCCAGGGGAAGGGAAGGGAGTGATCAATAGGCTGCTCAGAGATGCTGTAATGACACAGGGTGGGATGGAACAAAGAAGACAAAAAAAGGTTAGTGGAAACAAATAAAAAGGGCAGAAATGGAAAAGCAGATCAACAGAGAACAGATATAGACATAGAATGGTGACTGACAGTGAAAAGGTTGAGTGTTAGTACAAAAACGGACAGAAAACATTTAGTTTTACCCATTCAAAATCAAACATGGTTTCTACAAAGTTCTAAAGAAAAACAAGAAAAATCTAAACATTTATTATCACCAGCATCATCATTAAAACAGAAAATAAATTAATTTTTACCTATTTATTACAAAAATAAATGTCAAACCCAAACAAGAACAATCAGAGATTAGTCCTGATATATTCAAACAATTTGACAATAAAGCCAAACTTTAAAATCATTATATTTTGCTGATCACAGATTTATTCACAGACACACACATTGATGATCCATTAGCTCTGTGGATGGCTTTAAATCTGGAGTGCTTGTGAAATAATTTAGAAGTAACCTCATGAGATGGACAAATCAGGAAATGGAAGCTGCCCAAAGGACAGGAAAACAACCATGACAGGAGGAGAGAGTGTGATGCTGATGGACAATAATGCTTGCATGCATTTGTGGCCGAGGCGGATTAAGAACCCTTCATCTCAAACGCATTGTGGGTGCTGGCCAGTTGGAAAATGAAGTATGACAGAACGGGGCTCGATTTAGAAGTTCATTTACTAGAAGCCGAGTTTGATAGCTACTATATTTAATCATCAGCATGTGACGCATGTTTGAGGCCTGGACCTGATAATGTCCAGTATGAACAAACGGTACTAAGTTTGTAAAGTGGAGAATGAGGAACGGGGATTCAACACTGGGTCTTTTATTGTCCACCCTCCGCTCTTGTATCAGCATAAACAAATTCGATCTATTTTAATATTTTTAGGTCCGTCCTACATTTCTGACAGCACACAAAAGCTGCTGTTATGAAGGCACGTTTAGAACCAGGGATGCATGCAGCACATTAGTATACTGCAACTGAAATGCCACGTGTTACAATTACTGCCTGTTTCACAACTGTCAGTCTTGTGACCTTGATCGGTGAGGTTAAAACAAGTCAACCACATTCACACAGGAAGTGCTTGGTTGAGGGGGAAAAGAAAAACAAAAAACAAACAAAAACAAAAGCCTAACTTGCTGTATTACATAGTCTGAAGTCTTATTATACAGGCTGAAAATGATTTTAAAACAACAAAAGGTAAGGATAGAGGAGATGTTCTTGGTTCCTTTCACTCTCAGAATAAACATTAGGCACCATTCAAACCTCCTCTGTAAGGCTGAAGGTTGCTCTGATTGTAGGTCAATCCTGGCTTTTCTTGATAGTCTCATTAACGTACCTGACCTGGCAATCCCACTATCCCTCTCGTCATGTGGACCTCGGCCTGGCATGTCCATAGGGTGGCTGTGGCCTGGAGGAAAGAAGGAGATGGTGATGGTTTGGATTAGAGGGAAAACATTGAAATAAGAGATAATAGGAAGTACACATAGCAAATTAGAAATAAAACTGCTGGAGATGTTCTTGCACCAGTAGCAATCATCCCATGTTCAAGCCACATCAAGTACCAACTCTGCTACGAAAGGACGTTTATAGACGACTGTTGAACTGCTTGTGTGCTCACATGTTTTGCAACTGAATATGAGGAAGTGCTCCAAAAATAAAGCCAGGGGTCAGGACTGTTGTAAGAGGTTGATCTTCAGCACCTCTCCCACTTTCACCATCGACTTAAACCGTTATGAAAAGGTTCTTTCCGAAGCAATATCAAAGCCAGTATCAAGAAATATCTACTAAACCGGTGAGGGAATACGTAAAAAAGTGAAGACTCCAGCGCTTCCTCTCAAATACGGAGGTGTGAAGCCTCAAACACAACGTGAATGGTAGAGCTACAGAGCATGCCAGTGTGGGGAGAAATGATGGAGGGAAAGGCTCCCCTCCTGAACCGATTTTTACCCCACAGTAAAAATAGAGGGTTTAACCACTGATGCTGGATGCAAATGAGCCATATGAACTGAAAGCATGTATGCTCTGCATGTGAAACTAAACTTTAAATTCATTTACCGGTCTGGCAAAAATACTCAAAAAAACAAGACACACTGAAAAGTAGCTAGGACGGTCAAAGAATCACATCTGAAGTAATAAAGATCGATTTTTTTTAAGCATTTAAAACCAAAAGTCACCCAATATTGTCATAAAATTAAGCAATGATCCAAAAATTTTTGTGCACTAATGTTTGACCAAAATTAAAGCCAGAAATATTCAGAGAGTGTTATTTACTTTTATGTTAAATTGTAGGATTGGTCAAAGTCAATTCAGGGAAAACTTAACCTTCTGAAAGCGAGGTTTTATGCTAATAGGTAAAAAAGAAAAAAAAGGGATCTTATTTGGAATAGCTAATTTTCTTCGCATCTTTCAGGGAAAAATCCAAATTAAATTCTCCATGAGTCTAAAACCAAACAGTAAGTCTAGGAAAGTCCTAGTCTCCTAAAGTTTAAAGCAACTTCTACATTAAAAATATCACTTTGAAGCAAACAATCATTTATCTAAATACACCTACATCTTAAATCAGTCATAGAAGGCAAGAGAACATAGCCCAAAATGTTTTAAGTATACATAAGAATTCAGACTGCCAATACTAAACAAACAATATAGTTATAAAGACAGGCATGAGTAATTTTTCTGCAATGACAAAGATCCATGATATTCAGGAACAGCTAAGCTCATGTTTGGTCTGTGACCGGTGCAGCGCATTTCTGACAGGAGCTACTTTAAGGATTTATAAAGTGAGGAGAAAAGAGTCAGGAAAAATTTGTGTGTGTTTAACATGGTTTCCAGAGGGAATATACATAGAATAAGCATGCTTTGGTATGTTCAAAAGGTTTTAAGCAAAAACAGGAGATACAAAGCAGATGCCCAATTTAAAAGAAGTCTAAAAGCATTAAACAGCCAAAGCAAATGTGTGAATAATAGAAAGAAGAGACGAGAAGAAAAACTAAAGTTAAGACTAATACCACAGTAACCAACACCCATGAGCCCACCATGCATTTAATGAGTCTGCAATAAACCTGTTCAGAAACAACTGCCGGATATAATTAAAAAGTCTAGGTGAAACTTTATGGAAACCAGCAGCAAATTTGACAATCAACTAGAAATTTCCAGAAGAAAATTCTAATTGACTCTAGAAACCAGGTTCGTTGCAGACGTGTTGTATTACGGCATGCTAGGTCTACTTTTACTTCTTTTCGCAGGATTAACCACACATGCATGCTCCACCAACAGCCATCTTGAAAAACCGCCACTACTCCAGCTACAGCCGTTACGCACACATGCAACCGGCACACGGCACCTGTGGCCGGTTTCTAGCGCCAACCTGAAAAGAAAGATGCGCTCTTGATGAGGCGCAGCGGGCCTTGTTCAGAGAAGGCCCGTCGAGGGCTGCAGAGCTGAGAAAATCCTGTGCAGCACAGACAAAAAACATGGAGGAGAAACGAAAAGGGAGAGGAAGAACAGACAAAAATATAAACCATGATTAGTGAACGAAGTAGGAAAGCCGATAGTGTCCTATTGACCGGCCATCATCATAAGATTTGTAGTCTGGAACTAAATAGGTGATTGTCTGTTAGACAGCTGGACAAACAAGACGGCTGTATCATTCACAGAAAACACTGCTTCCTTGTATTACTTTCGTCAATCAAGGTGAGAAACAACATATTTAGTGTTTTCTGAGTATGAGGGGGAAAAAAGAAGAATATAAAAGAGTAAAAGCTGCCAACACATTTGTTTCTTCCAAAATTTGCAACTTAATTTCTTACACATTTACAGACTTTGATTGATTTAGTTTCCACATTGAGCTAAAACGCAGAACACAAAGCTTTACAACCAGCAACGACGAGTACAGAGATCAACGGATCCGATACTCAGGAAGGCACTAAAAGCATTAATGGTGTTTGATAGAGAGGTGACTCAACAGTTATGGTCAGAAGTCCCGTGCCCACTAAGCTGCAAAGTTAAAAACTCTTCATAGGCTGAGTGAAAGTAATAAGGAACTGCTAACAAGGTCTTTATGGTATGATTTGTATTGTAACTGGAAGACTACGGATCTTAAAGTGAGACAGAAAGTGCTGAAATCTAAATCACCTGACTTGAGTCATGTGAACGAAGCAAAAGCAGCACCTCACTAACAGAAAGCCTCAAGGTTGTCATGTTTTACACAGCTGGGTTTATTTATGTGCAGTCAAACATAAAATACCAGATCAGAAATTTGCATGTAAATGCTTCAGTAGAATCCTCTGTCGACTGGATAAAATGCTGCAGCTCAGTCACTTTGGTTACCTATGCTTCCTAAAAGGCTGTTGTTTCCCACATGTTGATCCGGCCTCAAGGTGTTGCTTTCTGGTCCAATGAACTCCAGGCTGTCTTGCAACCTGCAGATAAAGTAAATGTGCCACAAAATGTGTGTGATTACTTCGAGTATTTTAAACACAAACTTTCTATTTTAACTGACACTTATTTGAAAAGATAAAACAACATAGGAAACTAAATGTTTTGATGTTTACTAAGGAAACTGCCATGGTAATCAGAGTGAGAAGGGTGTGCCCTTACGTGTTCAGACTGCCGTATACACTGCCTCCTGTCCTGGCGGTGAAGACCTTACTCAGCATTAGCTGAGGTGGCGATCTGATATGACGATAGCAACAGGACAAAGATCATCAACATGTGAACATGGTAATAAGCAAGCACTAGATATCCTTAATTTGTCTTTTATACCCCGATTTTAATCATTTAATTAACAGTATAATAATGTAAAACCTTCTTACCTGATCTGATGAATTTTGAGAGTGGAGCCTTTGTAGCTCATAGCTACGGATCCAAACATCATCTCCCCCAACATGACCACATCAGACGAACACCTCGAACCCTAAAAGATTTACAGAAAATATTTTATTTGTGAAGGATCTTAGTAATCCAGGACCTGGCAAATCCTAACAGTTTTATAAAGACCATACAAAAGGATTTTATTCTTCTAATTGAGGACTTTTCACTCTTCTTTTTCCCCTCACAGTTAAGAGCCTGTGAGGGGAAAAAAACTGTTCTTCACCTCAGATTCAAATGCAGATCAGACTCCCTTAAATGACCAGATATCGTTGGTTCCTATGTTAGCCAGAGATCCCGGAGAGGATTTTCAGTCACTCCATCTGAATTGGTTTTAATTAGATGAGTTTTCACCAATCTTTATATTTGCATTTTGAAATATTGCATTAGAAGAGTTTGATGGAAACATCAACAGTTTAATAAACTAACTACATTTCACCAAAAAAAAAAAAGTTTCTATGCTTGCTTAAGGTGGTTTTTGACTTTTTAGAAAAAAAACTAAATGGTCTAAAGAAGAGATGGAAACAAATTTTTCAAATAAGATCTGACAAGGTGAACATTTGCCTCTCAGTGCTAATCAGCTTTTTCCACAGCTGGTGTTCTGAATGCATGATAGTATCAGTCTTCTCTCTCAGTCTCCAGATATCATGAACCATTACTAATAATAGCTAAAGTCAAACTTGGCTGATTACAACCCATTTATTAAAAACTCACTCCATCACTGATCTTTGCTCCGCCCAAGATTGTCTATTCTACTTCTTGTTTACTACAACCAAGGATAACGTGACAAAATTGCACTTTACATGACCTCATTAATTTGCTTGATTGAATGGAAATAAGTCCAATTTGCATTTACTTTTTATAAGTTCGCCATGACATTTAGATGGAAACCTGTGTACAGATGAGGCATCAGCCTCAAAGTTTTTGAAAGTACAAATCTGAAACCCTTCATCTTATCTGTCCAATATATGATCATAGGTTCATTACTGGATTTAACTTTATTGCTGTTTTTCACCAGCTCTTCAACTTGGTAATAAAAGATGCTGAAGAATATTTAAAATGTGAAATATCTTATCATTTTGTCTTTGTAATAATGTCAGAAACATTTATAAAATGTTCTAAAAACTAAAACCTGTGCATATTTTAGCTGTTGGAAATCAGCAACACACACAGACACACAAAAATATATATTAGTAAGGGAGCAACCCTCATTTCTACTCAGGCCTAAGGCTGAGAACATTACCTGGAAACGCTGGCCAGGTTCTTTGGATTCCCTTTCAGAAGTGCATGAAGAGGAGCTGTCTAGGGAACTGCTGCTGCCTCGAGTTGGACGGAGCTGACAGCATTTCCCAAACATCTTCATCTGGGCTTCGGTGCTCTGCAGGATGCACAAAAATAAATAAAAGAACAATTCAACAACTAGACTTACAACATGGAGAGCTCATCAGACCGAAGGGATTGTGCTTAAATTGTGTAAGGGATTTTAGACTAATGAGTGATAAAACCCACAACAAAACAACAATAATCTGGTCTCTTTTCCCTATCTTTTATTGGATTTTTTTCAAAAAATAAAATCGACAAATAATCAAAGTATTGCTTAAAAATGTACTTTTTGTGGAATACTCTAAATGAAGTCAAAGAGTTGGTTTAAACCACAGAAACCTAATCTACAGGCATTCAGGTTTACAGCTAGCGAACAGCAATGTGAGCCCAATCAGCCAGAGTCATGTGCCTTCTTAACTTGGCAGCCTATTTAGGAGGAATGCATTTGGGAGGGAGAGGGCGTGTGTGAATGCAGACATGTGTGTATTTGTGTGTGCGAGTGCAAACAGTTCAGCTCTAATGGCTCGACTGAAACCAGAGTTGCAGCCCATGCAAAGGACAGGAAGAATGAGTGCAGACAGGGAAAGCAAGCAGATGGTGGAGCTGATAAGAATTGCTTCGTCTACTACAATCTAAATGAGTCTAAATAATTGTGCAACCCCCGTATATCTGTTTCACGAGGTTTTGCAGCACACAACACCTATATGACACTGAAGCTGTACTGACTCAGAGGTAGTGTTGGAGTATGCATGGGCGTGTGATTGTCTGCTGCAGTGCAGTCTGAGGTGTATACAGAGTCCAGCAGCATGTGACTGCCAGTCATATGACTCTGAGAACTCGTGACTGAGCAGCACTGCAATAACTCCCTTACTCTCTCCCTCCCCACCGTCCACCACTCCAGCTCCACATCCTTCTTCAATTCCTGTTGGTTTATCCAACTCTTGACGCACAGCCATTGCATCGATCTGGCATATATACACACTTTTTATTTAAAGCCCCTCTGGATGTCTTGTTTTTACCCCATTCCTAACCCTTTGTGAACCTTTCTATGCACTCCCTCTCTCCGTTGCTGCTCTCTCTCCATTTCCCCACACCCATGTAGCATGTTTAACTGCTGGTGTGTCTAAATCAACCCTTCCAGAAAAAAAAAAAAGACGAAGAAAGTCATGTGATAAACTTTTAACAGTACAACTCTTGCAAGTCTGACAGATTCCTTTTTTTTTTAAACGTGGATGCAGCAGTATTTAAAATGCGCTGCCAAAGTAAATACGAGGGAAGTTAGCATTTAGATCAGATTTCAATAACTTTATGGCATGCTGTGGGAAAATTATTAAGCATTTCATCTGTCAAGCTGAGCTGCAGCAATACATAGGGGATACGGGAGAGAATACGAAAACAGGGGAAGAAAACCAAGTGGTTTCCAACAGAAAGTGACAGAAGAGACACAAGTGTTTGGTGTACACAAGCTGAATCGACAGAAAAATACCTAGTTCTCTCAGAGCTGCAGGAGGAGACTTTAACAAGTTAACATGGATCTAAGCTGGAGAGATATTTTTTTAAAAGCAAAATAAACCGAACAGACAATGAAAACTGAAAACTCTAAAAAAGAAAAAGCACCAAAATATTAAAGCAAAAGCAAGCTTTAAGAGGAGGAAGAAAAGAAATAGTGAAAGACAAGCATGTCATGTGAGGATGAAAGAATGCTGCTTACACACAGGCTGTCAGCTGATTCTATTATTATTGGAGATAAGAGGACCAGAACAAACCAGTCAGCGTCAGACGGTAAAACACTGCAACATTACAAAAAAAATCTTGTTTATATCACCCTGAATTAAAAGAGCCGGGAGTGATGAAACCATGTCAAAAAAATTTTAATAAAGAGGCCACAGATCCGCTGTTTGAAGATGCATAGTGACCAGAAAACAACTACCTTACTTGTATGTCAATACATTTTTGCAAGACTTATAAACCAGCAAAAAGAACATGTGCTATATTGAGAAGATCCACCTTAAAGGATTAACCCTCAAAAATGATCACAAGACCTCAAATGCTTAAAATACGTGTTGAAAAAAAAGCAGCTCACTATACTGGTTTTTGTCATCTGATATCAGACATGCACTGGGTGACTCCTTAGTCACCAGAAAACAGCATTCTTTTTAGCTTGGCTGTCCTGATGAGCAACTGGCTGTTCAGACACTAACAGTAACAACAAAGGATCTTTTCCCATCTTATGAATGCAGAATAACATTCTTGATGCAGTTACTGAGTGAAGAACACCCAATGTTAGCCGACTTTCCAACCATTACAGTATCATAGGAAACCGTCATCAGTTCATCTCATAATTGCCAAAGTGGCCATGGCTCTGTTATGGTACTTTATAAAAAAGGTCCCTTGTCTCTAATAAGCTGAAGACCATAAATATGACTAAACACTTTTATACAACTCAAATTATACTTAATTGAACAAGATGTGTTTAGTAGGTTTTGTGGGATGAATGCTTAAAGCCCCCCCGTTAACGTTTTACCAAGTAAAATTTAAGAAACGGCAACAAAAAGCCCATCTAGGGACAAGTGCTGCGAATTAGCTGTTGCTATTGCACCATGATGCAGACATGGGACTGCTGTTTCATTCAGTTTGTCTATGTAAATGTGTGTCTGTCCCTATCAAATAAACTTTAATAATAAAAATATATAAAGATTTGAATCTCACTGACTGCTATGGCACAGTAGTAATGACAAACTACCATCCCTACAGAATATCAAGCTAGCCTGTGAAACCTGCTGGACACAAACAAAGTAAACATGTGACTCACGGTAACTGGGGTTTCCTCTGTGCCCCTTTTCTTGGCATTGGAGTCAAAGAGAACATTTCTGCCGCGCCTCTCACAGTCCTGGTACACGATGAGTCTGATCTGACTGGGCTCCAGCTGGGGAAGCGGCCAGCTACATGGATTGAAGGATACAGGAAAGAGGAATCGATAGGAAAAGAACAATGGCAAAGGACGGTGAAGATTGGAAACATGAGGAAGGAAGATGGGAAGGGGACAAAATGACAAAACAATTAGTTGTTACAAACCTAAACGCCTAAAGCAGCTGAAACCATGTCATGTAAAAACAGAGGGGACATTTTTTTTCGTGAAAGCTTGGATTTTCTATAAGAAATGGGAAACACAATATCTATTTGACAAACTTATGTATAACTGGGCAGCACGGTGTCAGACTAAAGAATTTACATTTCACCATTTCTTTCAAATTGTAAAAAAATTAACAATGACAAAATTTTAATGCAACATTATTACAGATTATGCAAATCCACGTTTAAATTAAACCAAAATAGGTGCAAAATGTACAATACATGTTGAGTTTGTTTTTTTAAGATGTACACGCCTTCCACACTGGGTTAACAAAGCAAAACAAAATCTACAGCACCAATTTTAGTTTGAATATTCTAAAATATAGAGAAATAAAAAAATATATGAATATAAAGTGTTGCTGCAATCATCTTCCCCTCAAAATGTTTGTATATCCAGCAGCTCTACTCCAAGTATAAATAAATTCAGTTGCTTTCTGTTCAGGCAGAAAATGTCCCATGGCCCTGATTACCGAGAGTCTCTACAAATGCTAAGCATGTGGCGAAATGTAAATATGGGTCCCTTTACAGGCTGACAATAAACACTGTTTAAGCTGCCGTCTTTTGCACTGGGCATGGCACACAGTCAAATCCATGCACCAGCTGCCACTCATCCATTTCATACCACAGCCTCCTGGGGTTGGGAGGGGGGTAACAACGAGCACTAAAACCTGCTCCCAAAACCCCACCACAGTGCTGCACCTAAACGGAGCCATTATCACTTGCCTGCAATCCTATCAGAATAACGGAGTCACTTAGTTCTTCTCTAGCTGATACTGCAGAGTGATTTTCAGTCATGGGATTAGATTCATTGAGCGCCTGACTGAAGGAAAATCTTGTGATACGTTTACTTATTTCAAAGGTTGCTGACTGGATACCCAAACTTCCTTAGTCAATACTAAAAAAAAGTGGGGTAAGCATGTAGCACAGAGCTTCCTGTCCCATCAAGTTATTTAGTTGCTATTAATGCACAATGCAGCTTTTGGCTCTCTGGCAAACTCTGGAAAACCCCTTTGACCTTAAGATTTGCTCTGAGCTAAATAAAAAAAAATAAAAAAAAATGACAAGTGATTGATGGAAGTGATGATGGTCACTAATCTATCTTTTATAGCGGACAGACAGCTATTTATAGCAGCAACGGCTGCTGCTCTCTGAAACAGGGGAGACTCAATGGTATTAATTAAATCCAAAGTCACGTATTGTATTAACAAATGCATAAAACACCTCACTGCTCTGAAATAATTAACTCCAGAAACCACAGCAAGAGTTCAGCAAAAGATGACTGTTCTGACTGAATGGTCACCTTTCCCTCTGGCCTCGTGATGATAAACCTCCTCGCTGTCTGGCCACTGTCGGTCAAACATCGTTAAGTATCTTCACCAATCAGCATCAAACAGCCAGCTTCATGCCATGCCCCTGCTCCATAGACCCCCTAAAAGGTTTAGCCTCACTGGAAGTGACATTCTTCCATGTGATCCAATCGGGGCTCTACTTTATCATCGCTTACCTCAATAGACTGAGGCTCAAACCTCAACAGGGATTTCCTATATAGACTGAGAGGCAGCATCCTGCTGCTGCAGAGCGGAAGGGAGATTGTGTCCAAGAGCAGAATAAACAGCTGATTAATGCACAACATACTCATGGAATCACATACTACATTTTTGACGTTTGACAACTGTTATTTTGCCAACAGTCTTACAAAATTTACAAGGGAGTCTTAGCCTCCCTTGCATTCAATGAGAAATCACCACTGATGTCTATTACATGGTTTATACAGGAATGAGTAACTGTAATTTAATGCTTTTTAATGCTCTTAGAAATAATTCTGATGCCATCGACATGTACCCATGATTTATATATATATAAAAAAAAAAACATGATAAATTCCCTAATCATCTTTACCTTCAACAGGCTGCAGCCATGTCCCAAATTCCTTGTTTTCCAGCCACTTTTGTTGAAACTTGCATTTTCCCATTCCCTAGCCTTTTCTCCGCCTCAAGCTTCTTTTCCTTACATATGGCTTTACGATCTACTGGAAGCAGTTCCGCTCAAATATATCGCGGTATAATATATCTTACGAAATTGTTTGGGTATATGGGAGAGAATTGTTATTTTTAAATGAAGAATTTTAAAAAGCATTTTAAATGCCACTATAACCACATTTAATGAATTTGAATGCCAATTAAGGCTTTCATTTAAAAATAATAATTAAATGACTTTTAATGATTTTTGATGGCCCGCTGAAACACTATTAATTGGAAGTACTGACCATCTCTTAACAGCAGTGAAAAGAAAATTGATAAGGAAAAATGGTAAAGGAACAATTGTTTTCAACAGATATAAACAAATTTAAAGCTTACATGCAGCATTTCAGTTTTTGGTGAGGGAAGAGCTGTTGATGCAGGTTTGAATGCATGTGGTATTGGGTCCATGTGTATCATTCCCATACATGTGAACCATGTTTAGCAAACAATGCTGTCCAAGCAGTACACAACATAGGAGTGCAATTGATCTAGTCATGAGGGTGACCAGAGGAGAGAAGCTGCAGACCATTTCCAGGGGCAATAACTGTCCTATGCAATACTTGCTAAATCTTCAAATAAAGTTGTTATGCTGAAAAAAAAATGTTTTATAAAAGTTTGTCTCACCATTTTTCTAGTAATACAAAATACAAGATAAAGATGTCCAACTTTATTCTCCCCAGTTCTCGATTTAAAAAAGGTTATAAGGGAAGCCTCTTTTTTATCAGCTGACAGTGTGCAGCAACAGGTGGGGGAGGGGCACTCATCAACAGCAGCATTTTATCTAGAAGAGTTTAAACTGTAGTATGTCCATGACAGAAACAGAGATAGATTTTAAACTGGGAAATTATATGCATCTTTGATATCAACACTCGACCACTACAGAACAGCTTGAAATTAATTAAAAGGTCATCCAGCTTGACAATTGGTAACCATAAATAACAATTTTTCAAGATTTGTTATTATTACAACAGACTGACATCTCTGCAACTCACTGAGCTATGTGGCTGGAAATGAGACCTCCATCTGTTTAGGAGAGTCCACATGGTAATTGTGGATTTAATCTGACTGGCTCTTGCAATTTCTCTCAGATAAACCCAAATACTTGGACTCCTCATTGATGCTAAATTTTACAATCACAACATATGAGCAGGTATTAATCAAACACACAAATATTAGTCTATCTGCTCCAAAAACAACAACCAGCCACTGATTGTTTCAACAGACCCTCCAAAGGAGTCAGAAACCATTGTATTATTGACATGTTTAAGTCAGGTAGTTAACTTTTGGCTATATTACGGTTTCTCCTTTTGGCTCGTATCCAAGGGAAGGCCTGACCTCTCACCCAGTCTGATGTTAACCCTGGCCAGCTTACATAATGGGATTCAAATTGCACTGCATGGAGCAGGGTCAATATAGACCTCATATAGCTCAGTGTAAGATTACTTGGAGTTGTACAGACCGGCAATGTGCATAATTGCAGTAGGGCTACTGCTGAGATTTATTTATGAATACAGATATGTCTGTCAGCTCCAGGAAGCAGCAAAAGAAAACTCCCAAGATCTGACCTTCTAATAAGAGTTAATCAAGCACAGATTTAATTGTTAGCTGAGCTCCTCAATTCTTTAAATGCAAATAAATAGATCACTTCATTAATAAGCTACTTTACTAATAGTGATAGCAAAAGTGAATATTTAACAATGAAACAGAACACGTTAATCTAATATATCATCGTTTAAAAGCAGAAACCTCTAAAAGAAAGTTGTAAAAGGCAGAGGAGGAAGTATCTGTCAGTGACCGTGTGACAGAGCTCTGATGGAGCAGAGAGGAGAGTCATTCATAAAAGCAGCACATGACTTCATGACTGTTCAATTATTGTGCTCATCTGACCTCCATCAGTTCAACCAGTTCTGACTCAAAGTTTCTCAGGGAGGCAAGTCTAACAGGTATGCGTTTACTGGAGATAAAGCTGGATTAAAAAAGCCCCACCAACCCTGTCAAATCATTAAATTTAAAGCTGAAAACAAAGCACAAATCCTATATAAAATGTTTTTTGAAAAGAAAATTCAACAACCTCAAATTAAAGGTTCAACTCCACTCAAACATGCTAAATTCAAAAGGCATGTGTTCCTTTAATCCTCATAACCCACACTGATAGTGTTACTTCTGTTCATCATCGGGCTCCTCCTGACCATGAAAATATCTCTGGTTTCAATCAAACCTTAAGTGCCAGCCATTCGGATGACCGAAGTTTCAATCAAATGCACTGGTAAAAAATAAACACCATGTAAGATTGTAAATCATGTTTTGAAACCCTAACAAAAGTAACCATGCCCAGTCGGACACCCCGCAGCCGAGTTAAACATTACCCGCTCCTACCTGAGCATCATCGCGAGGCTGCCAGTCTTTCCCCAGCCCTCTCCCACTCTCTATTTCCCTCGTTTCTCCTCTCTGATTCTCCTCTGCCAGCCAAAGCAGGGTCTAAGAATAGCGGTGGACTAAATTCACTCAACAACATGAGACTATCAGGTGATCAGAGCAACACTGTGTGTGCTGGACAGTACAGAGGCAGCAACAGCAGTGAGCCTGGACTGCTGACAGCCAGAAAGCGCTGTGATAAGACGGTGACAGAGGGGATTTGTTTGTGTATTGTTTCCTAATCTGACTCTTTTTGTTCCTCACTCACCCATGTTTCCTCTTCCCCTTTTTTCTGTCTTTATCCAATAAATGTACATGTGTAATTAGTTCTTAACAAAACTGGCAGAGGGATATCAAGACATTTGAGAGAAAAT